ATACTAGTTATATTAAATATTTCGGACAAGAGTGTGAAGGACAAATGTCTTCCTAAAATACAGACTATGTTTTTTTTTCCTTTATCACTAAAATTTCTCAAAAACACCACATTAAAAACAATATTTTCCTCATGAGGCAACCCTTTTTCCCCAAAAGTACAAAGTTGTATGGAATGAAACAGATATTTATCCAGAATCTAGGAGCATAATTATAATAACATGCTAAATGCTCTGTACTAGTTCTATATCAGATACCAGTATGATGAACTTCTTTTGTACCATTTAAGTTATATAGCAAAATTCAGCTTTCAGCTTTCATTGACATACAGAAATGGGTCAGCCTTTAGTCCCCTCTTAATGGAAAATAGAAAGGGGACACTAATAAACAACAATTTATTCTCATAGTTTCAAAATTCTCAGGTTTATTACTTATCATTACACCAGGCAAGCTAAGATACATGTTAAAAACCACAGGCCTATATACTAGGGGTGGTACAATTACGGAAAAACCGTATTTGCAATATATTGCCATTTTGCTGCAAGCGTATTGCAATATATTGAAATACGTAAATTGTCGTGTATGTTTTTATGTAAAATGGAGTAAATTTTTATATATTATTATTATATGTAAATATTTTTTAGGTAGAAACTTAATTTTAAAAATGTAAGGAATAAATAGAAGTAGTGTCACACAATTTTGATAAACAAAACTAAGTCGCAGTGTGACCTTCACATCTGGGGCCACTTATGAGTAAAGTTTGCGGGCCGCCTTATTGACTTTTAGTGTACTTTAATTGTCGGATACTTTTATCTTACGTTGGCGCCAACAAAAATTTGCCAATTTAAAAGATTTTATGTGAAATTTGTACAAAAGTTATGGTGGCATATTTCTGCCACCAGAATAAATGAAAACTTACTAGTTAATTAAGAGGTTTAACTTATTACGTACTAGTAAAACCTGATATTCACTAGTTAATTAAGAGGTTAACTAGTTACGTAAACTAGTAAACCTGATATTAATAGTTAATTAAGAGGTTTAACTAGTTTACGTAATAGTTAACCTAATACCTAACTAGTTTATTAAATTAAGAGGTTATCTAGTTCGTTTAACTTGTTCCTGATAATTTACTATTAATTAAGAGGTTTTAACTATAGTTAAAATTAACTAGTTTAACCATGATAATTAATATTTAGTTATATTTGGTTATCTGGTGGGGCAAAAAATATTGCCACCATAAAAATTAGGAAGGCAAAATTAATTGAAAATTATTTGAGTTTTTTAAAAAAAATACCGGTTTTCCAAAAATCATACACGGCGGTTCGAAATTTATTTTTTCATTATTGCAATATAATCGGTTATACGGTAAACCGTTAACACCCTTACTATATACCAAAATTTCCCATATATATGGCTCATTAATAATTATTTTATAAAAATTAAGGTCCCCTAACGAGAAAAAATATCATGCAAAAAAAACAAGAATGTTCGGTAAAAATACACCAGATACTATTTTTATCTTTATGGTTGTCTTCTAGGAATAATGTATCCTATCATAAACAACTTTTTACTTCATCGAAATCCTACAAAATACGAGCAAGTTTCCAAATTTCACTTGAAATTGCATTGGCATGTGTTTTCGACGTCCCAAGCGATGCATGTTAAAAAAAGGTGAATTCTAGTCAAAATTTCTACAAAATCAATCACGAATAACTGTTAGAAATTTCGACATACTTTCTTTAAGGAACTTGTTACAGTCCCAAAACTATGAATGTTTTTTTACTTCACAACTCGTCCGACGATAACACTAACAAGCTAATAAAATTAAAAATTAATTGACAGCTCTGTTCCAAGAAAGTAACCATTTCCTACATTACCGCCTGAATATAAGGTAAGTAATGAAAAATTTGGGTTTAAACCCGGAAAAACCCCAGTTTTAAAAATTTTTCCTTTTAACACAATGTTCCAAAGATGGCCCTTTCTATTGAAGGGGAAATTAATTCCCCCGAAAAAAATTAAACCCCCCCCCCAAAAAAACCAACAGTCCCAAAAGGTTTAAAGGTCCATCATTTTTGAAAAACACTAATTGGGAAAATGAGATTTTCCCCCCGGGGTGTGAAAACTTACTTTATTCGCTTGACAGTGGGCACATTCCACCTTAAAAAAAAAATTTCATTTTTAGAAAAAAGCATGCCAACCGCATGGTTCAAAAATTTTATAGCTGTACATCAAAGGACAAAAAAGTAGGTCCTTTCTTTAAAAATTCTGGGCCCACCTGATTTTTCAAAGTTAAATTTTTAAAAACAAAACTGTGCACATGGTCAAAATGTCATTGCTGTAATCAAAGGGGACAAGAAAGTAGGTCCACGTTTCCCCTGTGGGCAAGGCATAATTTTGACCAAGGGTTTTTAATTCAAAACAATCTTGATTCAGGTCCACCAAACAACATTTTCAAGTCAAATATCTAAGCTATAGCTTTCTCCCATTCAGAAAACATTTGTTTTAATTTTTCTGGTATTTTACTATGTGTACATAATGAGATCACTGCCCCCGGCAGGGCCAATTTGACACCAGGGAAAAATTTGAACAAATTTGGTAGAGGAACCTATAAATGATATTAAATATCAAACATCAAAGCCTCTATGCCTTGTACCTTCAGACAAAAATATTTTTTTTATTTTTTCACTATAAATATGTACATAATGAAAAATCAATGGCCCTCCGGGGCGAACCAATTTTTGACCCCAGGGCTATAATTTGAACCAAAATCTTGCTAGAGGTTCACTACACAATGTTTCATGCAAAATATTTTTACTCTTGCCTTTGTTTAAATTTAGAGAAGATGATTTTTTTAAGTTTTTCTATATTACACATATAAGGAAACCTATGGCCCCGGGGCAGAGCTAAAAATTTTGACAACAAGAGGCAAAATTTGAAACAACTTTGGTAGAGTACCTTTTGAGATGATATTATTTTTAAAAAAATATTAAAGCTCTAAGCCTTTGTACCTTCAGACAATAAGATTTTTTTAATTTTTTACTATATGTATATATTGAAATCAATGACCCCCAGGGCGGGGGCAATTTTGACCCCAGGGCTATTATTTGAACAATCTTGCTAGAGGTAGACACAATGTTTCATGCAAAATATCTAACCTCGCATTTGTCAATTGCTAAAAGAATTTTTTTTTAAGTTTTTTTACTATAAGTTTTTACTATATACATATAAGGAAAACCAATGACCCCCTGGGCGGGGCCGATTCTGACCCCAGGGCTATTATTTGAACAATCTGGGTAGAGGTCTACCAGACAATGCCTTATGCAAAAATATCTAAGCTCTAGGCCTTTTGGGTCTTTACAAGGGGTGTTTTTAAGTTTTTACTATATGTACATATAGTGAAAATCAATGACCCCAGGGGGCGGGGCCCGATTTTGACCCAAGGGCTATTATTGAACAATCTTGGTAAGGGTCTACGCAGACGATGCCTTATGCAAAATATCTAAGCTCTAGGCCTTTTGGGTTTTTACAAGAAGGTATTTTAAGTTTTTACTATATGTACATAGTGAAAATCAATGACCCCACCGGGGCAGGGCCAATTTTGATCCCCGGGCTATAATTTGAACAATCTTGTTAGAGGTCTACCAGACAATGCCTTATGCAAAATATCTAAGCTCTAGGCCTTTTTGGTCTTTAGAAGAAGATTTTTTAAATTTATTCTTATAATTCCTTTTTTGTTGCCATGGCAACCAGATTTCTTGCATGGAATTAAATTCTTTGAACAATCTTTGGAAGCCCTTCACCCAAGGATCAATCCTGCCAAGTTTGGTTGAAATTGGACTAGTGGTTTTTCACAAGAAGATTTTTTAAGTTCACTATATAATCTATATAACACACACACAAACACACACACAAACACACACACACACACACACACAGGTGAATCGCTATATGCCACCGCATCGCAGATGCTGCGGTGGCATAAAAAGCAATAAAAATTATATGAAGTGCAATAATTTGCAAAAAAATGCTTATCTTATTTGTCTCTTCTTACATTTATAATGCAGAGCACTAGATTTGTGTGTCTGTCATACAAAATGACTTTCAATAATACTATTTTAAATATATTTGAAATACAATTTCTTTAATAAATACTCATAGTAATACTTAAATTCCTTTTTGTGATATTTTTTCTGACACATATGTGCAGACAGTACATTGTGTACCACCGGTCTTACTGACCTGTGTGAAACCATTCTAAGCATGATGCCAAGAAAATTTTGGACTTGTGAGAGGCTGTAAATGACCCCAGATTGATCATAAGGTAACGTGTAACAACGCTGAAAAGCATTTGACTATATCTCAATCCATTGAGAAGTGGCATCACTTTGAAATCAATTTTTGACTGAAAAAAATCGAGGCAAAGTAGTGATTTTGGGCAATTTTGAGATGTCCCCTCGTTGCCATGGGAAAACAGAAAATTTAAGCCTGAGCATGTTGTTGCAAGGGCAATGGTCCAGTCAACATTTGTGCCAAGTTTGAATTAGTGTTGAAGCAGTTTTTATAGTATTATAGCAATTTGAACTTGTAACGGGAGACTTTTCAATGGAAACAGCCATTTTCACAAAAATTGCTCATGAAGTAATGGGTTAAGAAATTTTGCATCTTGATTGGGAAAAATATTTTAGTACCATGTACAAAGTTGTTAATGCCAACAAATTGTATATCATTCAAAAGCATAAAAAATACATAAAAAATTGACAATGGAATGTGTTTCTGAACATCATCTGTCTGGTACCATATTGGATTGAAATGGAATGAAGAAAAATTGTCACCTTTGATAACGGAATTTTGACTTATGATTTTTTTCTAAACTTTGGAAAAGAAAAAAAGCATATTTGGTATTATTTTGCCACTGGAATGGGTCTGTTAATCTGACCCGTGGTGACACTGGTAAAAATGCATGTTTTCATTCATTTTTTTTTTTGGAAAACAGTTTGGTTTGTGAAATATACATTAAATATTATATAAGTACCTGTTGTTTGTAATAATCTTCTAGTCTTTCTTTAATCTTATACTGTACTTTTTCTAGCTACATGTACCAGCCTTTCCAAGTGAATATTAAAGTAAATAATCTTTTATTTCCCTGAAAATATCAATTTAGAGATTTTCATTTTCAAAACCATCCAAAACCATTTTACTTGTTTAAATAAGAAAAATATTTAAAGGCGAATGCATACGATGATTATCTGCCATATTAATTTTATCAATAATTTCTGGTACAGGAGTTACCTCCCTTCTGTACATTTCTCACTTTTTCTGCTACTTTGACCACAGCAGTAGCTTCTATATTTGATTCTTTTAGAGTTGCCCTAGGAAGTGAAGGATTATCACTCCCGAGATCCTGGATTTAATATAGGGTTACACCCTTGGGATTGTTTAGAGACACTTTTAGTGTTTCCAACCTACCTAGAGCTGTACTCAGAAATCCAGACATGTAAAAGAACAAAGGGGTCTATTCAATAAAAGCTAAATACTGGTTCCTGGATTCCCCTTGTATTTCATAGCTGGCTCTTTAATGTATACTTAAAGGAATCGTTAACAATTTTAAAGCAGTATGATGTAGATATTGGTAATCTAAACTTGTATGAATTTTGGCATACTTTCACTTTAGCAAGACCCAGTTAGTAAAAAACAAAGATGGCTGAATCACCTCTACTAATATAAAACCACAGACGACTGTCCTAGCTTAGATACAACAATATACATGTGTTGATAAAACAAATTGAACTTAAACTTAGGCATCAAAGCAAGTGGCAGATATCATGATCATTTTATGTATCAAAACCACACACCGACTGCCTCTGCAATTTTCATAATAAAAAAATTATTGTTACCAGTATATAGATTTACTTACGTCACAAGGAATATCCGCTACAATACCCACGACAAAAAGGTTACAGTCAACCTGGAAAATAAATATTATACAGCATTTACCACATCAATCTAACTTTAAATCCTTCATGTAATTTTGATTCTTATTTAATTTTTGAACATAAGCGACTTCCGGTCGTAAACAAACAAAGGAACTTCCGGTATGAGTCATGTTTATGGCGCGAACCTTACATAATGAAATTGTTAATATTTCAACAACCAAATACAAAAACTCTAAAAAAGCAGCTCATTAACCACATTTTCTAACGAAAAGAAAGTGATGAAATAGATAATAACAAACGCCTTTCACGCTATTGTCAACAATGGGCCAATTCTCAAAAGTGGGGTCAACCTCGTGTTTGTGTTTATGTTATGACCAAGTTACGTGACACACGAGTAAACAACAAAAAAACATGACAATGATCAAAATCAGTGGATAAGTTGGGTCTCAAATCGAAACATTCTAACACTTTCATTTCGAATTATAGGGAAAATTACGTAAATGACAAAATGACGAGCGGCCGAGTCAATCAAAGTGTTTTTTGAACTTGGCCGTTTATTCAAATTTCCCGTAAAATACTCGTCAAGTTATGTAATGAATAAATATATAAAAGTGATAATCAATGAAAAAAAAACAATAACTCAAATATATTTACTTACAATATGTGCGATGGTTGTTGATTCTTTCCTGAGCAATTTCTCTTACGTGTTGTTCTCTTGGATAAATTATTGTGAGTCTGCGCATGCGTTAATAATAATTTGTAGCGTAGAAATACAGGAAATTTTTATCGATGTTTTTAGATGTCAAACATGAATAAAGTGCATGATTTTCGGGTAGAAAAAACTTTAACATAATTTTTTGCAACATTGGGACGGATAAGTCATCGCTTAGCGTATGCTTAAAGCGATTTAAGTGCAAATCATGAACTACTTTATGTCACGGACGTATAAGCGGATGGATGCTGTTCAGCAAATCCACTCTGCCTACCTTTTTTTGAGATTGTACTTATAACTCTGTATTCATTCTGCTTCGCACAATGAATACAAAAACACACCTTTTTTATCAAAGGGCCATAACTCGGCCAAAAATCATTCAACCGGAAAACCCGTGCAATATGCGCAAGGACTTGAGCTACAGATCAATCCTGTAAAGTTTCATTGAAATTGCATTAGTGGTATAATGAGAAGTAGTCCGGACAAACTTTAAAAATAAAAATTATTAAAGCGGCAATAACTCTGACAAAAAATCATTGAACCGGGAAAATGCTGACAATATGCACAACTAGACTTGGTTACTGATCATTCCTGTAAAGTTTGGATGAAATTTGCACCAGTTAGTTTATGAGAAGTTAGTCCGGACAAGTTTTGTGACGGACAGACAGACGGTATGCGACAGACGACGGAGCAAGTGATCCCTTATATGTGGCCACTACTCCGTAGAGGCGACACAAAAATGAACAAAGGGCAATGACTCTAAATAAGGCAAGGCAGAGTTATCGGTTCTTATGCCACTGCCACATCTACCCAATGCAAGATCTATTTACCTACAAAGTTTCATGCTTGATACCTCTCGTTATGTCCCATACAAGAAAAGAGGACGGACAGACGGACATGGCATTTAAATTGACTAAGGGGCCATTTCTTTATTTTCTTTTGTTTAATAGAGGGCTTTAGAGGTTTAGATCAAAGTTTAGATTAAATTGTCTGAAAAAAGTAAAGATGACTTAAACTGGTGGTTGAACAATTTAAAAGCTAAAAATGGTAAGCAAATAAGACTGAATAAGGTTGATTTTTATTTTAGGACAGATGCTTTGCTTACAGGTTTTGGCTGTGTTGACCTCTTAATGTCTGGAAAGGTTACTCAGGGTAGATGGTCATCATTAGAATTGCAATATCATATTAATTATTTAGAATAACTAACAATTTTCTTTTCTCTACAAACTTTGTATTCAAAGAGCACAAACATACATATACAATTTCAGGGTGATTCTGTTACTGCTGTAACATATATTCTAGACATGGGAGGTATGGCCTCTTTGGACTAAGATACATTGGCATCAGATAGTTGGCACTGGTGTTTGCCGAAGAACATTTTCATTTCAGCAGGACATGTTGCAGGGATAGATAATACTATTGCTGATTTTTATCCTAGACAGTTTTCAGACTCCACTGAATGGATTTTCAAAAGATTATGTAGACTAGTGTTGGGTATCAGACTCAAAAATCACTATCGATAATCAGACCACAACAATCGAATTTCTGCCGATAGTACCATCGAGTTTCGGACTTATAATGACCCTTTTTTCTTTAGTATGATTTGCTCTTTGAATTCAAAACAAACAACACAAATACCTAATACTACTATGTGACAGTCAATTTTATGTAAAATACAACCTTTTGGCAGTCAATATTAGTACTTAAGTCAACAGGTCAAAATATCAATGAGAAGTATTGTAGATCACTAATTTAACTACAGTAGATATATAAGTTTATAATGTTATGTTACTACACACTATAATTTTCTAAAGTAGTATTAACCATGTTATACAAAAAATACTTTAAAATTGTTTGGAATTAAAGAGATTCGGTTGGGAAACTTCTTTTTGACTGCATGTAAAAAAGTTACGCCATAGGCAATTCACCGGTGGTAGAACATTAAAATAATCGATTTTTAAAAAGGACTATCGATTGTTGCCGATTATGGGGTGGTCCGATTATTAATCGATTTTCAGAGACAATCGGGACAACACTAATGTAGACATTTCTTTAATTGTACCTGATATAGATTTATTTGCATCCAGGATAAATAAACAGTTAGATTGTTTTGTTTCTTGGTGCCCTGAACCAGGAGCTATTTTTAGTGATGCTTTTTCTGTCTCTTGGCATTCTTACAAACCATATATTTTTTTTCACCTTTTGCTTTAATAAGTAAGATGGTAAATAAATTTTTTGGAGATAAAGTAGAGAGAGCTCTGGTAGTTTTACCATATTGGAAATCACAACCTTGGTTTCCATTAATGTTACCATATTTTTCTCCCCGTCATGCTGCCGAGAGAAAGACCTGTTGGTTCTCCCATACAATGGAAGAGTTCATCCGCTCAGCAAATCTTTGAACCTAATTGTAGTGTTATCAGGAAGGCACTCAATTATAAAGGCATTTCATCAGGAGCTGCTAATAACATTACCTCAGCCTGGAGACCAGGAACACAGAAACAATACAATTTGGCATGGAAAAAAAACAGGTATATTTGATCTTGTGAAAGATCCCTTTTGTACCACTGAAGAGATAGTGGTCAATTTTCTGTATCATTTACATTTGCAGAAAAAGTCTTATTCATTATTGAATACCAATAAAGCTATGTGATGGCAAACATATTTTTTGGAAATGTTTAGTGTGGTAATACTGTGCTTATTCCTAAATTTATGAAAGGGATTTTTCATTCAAATCCCTCTAAGTTGCGTTATGAATTTACCTGGGACGTGACTGTAGTGCTTAAATTTCTCAGAACATTATATCCTTTAAGAGCATTATCCTTAAAGATGTTAACATTAAAATTAGTGGCTTTGATAGCCCTCAGTTGTGCTCCTAGGGCTTAGACTTTAGTCTCTATGAACTTGGATTTCATGAACTGTGCTATTGATCATGTGACATTTTATTTTCAGAGATTATTAAAAACTAGTAGATCTAATTCTTTTTGTGTAAAATTGGAACATTTTGAGGAGGAACCACTTTGGGTTTTTCATACTTTACTATATTATGTTAACGTAACAAGGAAGTTACGTAGATCTAAACAACTTTCAATTTCTTATGTAACTTAATAAAATGTTTCTACAAGTACCATTGGGAGCTGGTTAAAAACTGTACTAGAATTAGCTGGTATTGACACTGGTATGTTTAAGGCTCATTCTTTTAGGTCTGTCAGTTCTTCAGCTGCTTTTGGTAAATGTACTTTGAAAACTTTATAGGATGCAGCTGAAATCTGACATAAATTTCTATAAATTTTATTACAGACCCGTTTTGAATGATGAAGCATTATCTTATGCTTGGGCTGTTTTCTCATAGTTGAAACTTTTTTACAGAGGTCAATTTGATATGACATAAATATCTAATTGTTACTGAAATGTAATTATGTACATTTAATTTGTATATTTGTTTTTTTTTTTTCAGGGTAGTAAATGTGAGTATTAAGTTACTAGTTTGTGTTCTTGGTTGACATTTTTGACAAACTTTAAAGATGCTGCATATACATGCGAAAGCCAGGCTTTTGTGAAAATAATGCCCCCCAATCCAAGCCCTGGTGATGGATGGGGGCCATTATTGGAGTAAAAGCCAGAGGCGGAGCATGTATACACCCTCTCTTTGGATTCTGGGTTTTTTACAGCACTTAGCCCTTGTTATGAATTTTTTGTCAACAAGTTATCTTTAAAATATGATGTTTATTGGTTCACCAGTTCCAGTTATGGGTATTGGTAACATGACAGGTACTTCCAATTGTACTTTAACTTTAGTTTTCTTTAAAATGCGACTTGCAAAAGATAGCATTCATCAATGAAACGTATTCATGCTTGGCCTCCGGCTTTTACTCCAATAATAGCCCCCATCCATCACCAGGGCTTGGATGGGGGCATATTTTTAATGGCCAAATATTATTGTCACACTTGCCAACTGGGGTTAAATAGTGAAACCAATTTTCATTTCCAATCACAATATAAGAAATACATTGACTGTCATATTTAGGAAACATTTTCATTACTTTTTAAGCACACATACTTAAATAGCTCCTTCTTCTGGTCAGAATGTTAGCAAATGGGGTATCCGTATTTTGTTCGAGCTTTTATGTAAGCCTGTATTTCAGCACTTTTAACTGAGCATTTAGCAGCCATATTAAACAAAAGTTACTCATGTAAGATATTTTTTAAACATGAATAAAATTTTTAATTGATTTTGGTATCATTTGAAAGCAGATGCTTTGAAGCATAGCTTACACAAACACAATTACCTAAATTAGAAAATAAACATTATACTGCAAATACATTTTGACCCTGGCTCTATTATATATATGCATTCTTTGTCATAACATGGATTATGCCAATATTTAAATTAATACAAATTACAATGTAGATACAATTTCCTACAGTGGATTGTTATCTGTGAAACATTAAATACACCTGAAATGGCACTACTTCAGGCAGTGTTACCTCATCAGGTAGGCTGTATCTGCTCCATACTTCACCATGTAGATAATTGGATTAACTGCAAAGTTTATGACCTTCATTAAACAGTGAGACTGTAGAACTAGATCAGCTAGCACAGCATTGTCTCTCTGTAACAACACTTGGTAAAACTCCTGCAATACATATACCAGTACTTCCACAGCCATATGCCATGACAATGTTACCATCTCTGGTGTGTTCAGTTGCTCTGGAAAGATTAGAAGAATTTATTTCATCTCTTCACTGATACTGATTAGGTTCAAACATACAAAGCAATCATTAAACAAGAATCAAACTTTCATTCTTAAGAGAGTTTAATCCAGAGGTTCTAAAGCCTAAAAACATAAACTTTAAAAATCATAGATCACTGGGGCACTTAAAATAGAATTAGAAATGTGTCCATAGGACACGGGTGCCCCCACACTCCACTGTTTTGTCATTCTTATGACTCCAGGTCAAATATTTTTTGGGTTACATATACCACAAGTTTATAATCTTTTACTAAGTAAAGGGCAAGAACTTTGCAAATACTGAATAAATCCTCAAGCAAACCCCAAGGTGCATAAGTACACATGCTGACCAACATTCTTGAAAATTTCAGGCCCACAGGTCAAATACTTTTTGAGCTATGCATGAACAAGTTGAAAATTGCATATTCAAGAGCAATAACTCTAACAAAACTGAAAAAAAATGCACATGCAAAATCCCAGGTGCATAGCTTCACAGTGATGTTGATCATTTTTCCTGTAAAGTTGGTTGATTTTTACTCAAGCACTCAAAGATAATGAAACAGTTTTAACTAAGTCAAGGGCAATAACTCTAAAAATACTAAAT